TATATCTCACATGTGTGATACAATATTTTTTGTACTGAGTTATTCATATCTCCCTAAATAGATTTTATTAATTAATTAAAAACCGGTGGGCGTAGCTCAACTGGTAGCGAGGGAGTGCCACAAGGGTTAGGTCTCGGGTTCGAATCCCGGTAACTGCGATGAGGAGTTACTATGCTGAAAGATGCATAGGGCCTCTGCAAGTACCAGAGACAAAGCCTCACTCTCTATCTGTCAGATTGTGATTATAGTCCAATTTACATCCTCTCATCGTGCCATCCGGTCGGTGTTGGGGGGCCCTCAGGGATGGGGTTTCATCTTTTTTTTTATTAATTAATTAAAAACCTAAACACGGTCATGGGTCAATACACATATGTCATGCCTTAAATGGCAATCCGACATGTACGGACAGAAACTAAAATAAACCTGTTGGGGACTTGGGGGTTGCTTTTGAATTCTGGATCAAGACCGGAAAATTAATAATGGCTAATTAAATATTCACTTGTACTTGAAACTTTAAGGACTTACATCCTAGTCTGTACATTAATAAGAACATTAAACGTAAAATGATTATATGTAAAATAATACATAGTAATACTTCGTTTGAATAGCCGTGTAATTAATTTTAAAGTTATACACAACAATGTTCAATAAAAGGTATGGAAGTATTTCATTTTATCATCATCATCTCCGATCCCATGTAAAACGTAAAACGTTTACATGGTATAAGGTAGAATGTAAAAAAAATGTCCTACAATTTAGATTGAGTAATCAAGCCAAACTATATAAACTTTCTACATTTCATATGCAAAATCATTATTTTGTATTCATCTACTAGACACCGTGAAATGAATGAACGCATTTAAATGGTCATTAATTAGTTTTAGCAGAATGGATTGAGTTTGATGCCTTATGCAAACTATGGATGTTTTCTTTTGGACTGAAATTTGCTAGTCTGGTCTGGTCTGGTCTGGTAAACGTCTGGTCTCTGTGTATTTTATAACTACGAAAGTCAGGTCTAGTCTGATCTGGTCTAATCCAATCTGGTCTGGGACTGAAAACAGTTCAAAACAAAACATCTTTATCTCCTTTTGATTTACTCTGTTTGGACCGTCACTGAGTAATCTATATTCTAGTTTCCTTTTTATTGTTTTCAAAAAAAAAAAAGTTTCCTTTTTATTATTTATATATATGGAACATCTTGTTTAATTATCACTGGTCCTCTGAATTCTAGATTAATTTCAATCGCACAATTTAATTTCTTAAGGATGACACCCCATCCCTGAGGGCCCCCAACACCGACCGGACGGTACGATGGGAGAATGTAAATTAGACTATACACAATTTAATTTCTTAAACTTAGTGTATGTGGAGGATGATAGTAATTAAAAATGCATGACAAATTGTATGATGCCCTCATTTTTATGGATACCGTATTTTAATTAATAAATGGTCATCTTTACTTCATCAACTTCACCAAAGAAATAAGGATGTTTTCTTTTGGACTGAAATTTGCTGGTCTGGTCTGGTCTGGTCTGTTTAAGTCTGGTCTGGTCTGGTCTGGTCTGTTTAAGTCTGGTCTGGTCTGGTCTGGTCTGAACTGGTCTGGTCTGGTCTGGTAAACGTCTGGTCTCTGTGTATTTTATAACTACGGAAGTCTGGTCTGGTCTGGTCTGGTCTGTTTAAGTCTGGTCTGGTCTAGTCTGTTTAAGTCTAGTCTGGTCTGGTCTGGTCTGTTTAAGTCTGGTCTGGTCTGGGACTGAAAACAGTCCAAAAGAAAACATCCTAAGTACGTCTTTATTTCCTACGAAGTACGATAGTACTATTTTACATTTTTTATCCATCTTGAAAAGTTTATAACATATGTATTTTTTTTTGAAATCAAAGGAATTAATTATCAATGATAAGATCAGTATTCAGTACATGTAAAATAAAGGAAGGGGGGAAATCATTCCAAGAAATACAACCAGAACAAGCAACTTGAACTAACTCGTGCAACACCTTGTTCGTTGATCACCCAACATGAGAGTATCATATACTTCGTATAAGTATCATACAATATACTTCGTAAATTTTATTTCATACTATGTATATGCATTCTAAATTTTATATGTATATGTATTCATACAAATACCATATATATAAATATCATACAACATAAATTTTATTTCATACTATGTAAGTATGTATATGTATTCTAAATTTGACATCAATCACATAGTATCATTTTTTGTGTCGCTTATTCTCAAACCTGTAAGACACTGAGATAGAGCATGTAAATCGAAAATTTGACTGCAAAATGACAGCTTAATATAATGGACAATCAAGGAGAAGAGAGTACATTAAGAGCATCTTCAATGCTAAAGCGTTAACGGTGCATACGTGGCATGAGAAATAACCAATTAAAAAACAATAAATACAATATCTCTCTCCTTCTTTCCACGGTCTTATGTGTTTATAGTAAGTTTTTGTCTGCAATGTCAATCACAACGTCTACATCTAGACATTGTGCTTGACATTATGAAGATAAACTTACCAAAATGATGTAAGATCCTTTAAATAAGGAGAGAGATATTGTATTTATTATTTTTTTAATTGGTTATTTCTGATGCCACGTATGCACCGTTAACGTTTTAGCATTGGAGATGCTCTAAAGAGATTATAAAGTGGTCCCCACTTTCTTGTATATATGCAATCCCGAAATAACAAACCAAAACTTTTTTATCAGCTCTCCCAAAATTAGATAATCTCACTCTCCTAGCCGTAACAACAAATCCACAATTCAGACATTCAGTCACAGAAGGCCAAAGTAACTGTACCATTTTTATTACGGAGTATTATTATTTTAAAAATGTACAATTTATTATTTATTTTTCTCTAATAAAAACAGTTCTGTATGTATGTATTAATTAATTTTATAACAGCTCAACACAAAAAATAAGAATGAAATTACATGTTTTGTTATCGTGTTTGCAATAAAAAATTGTGATGGCTTTCTATTTAAATTATATAGGAGCGTATTGAGAACATCTCTTAAATGAGAATCGGAATGAAAACTTTTGATCACCACTTTTCATATTTCTATTCAAAGGAATTGAAGGTACAATTTTTATAATTATTTTACATTAATTATAAGGAAGGCCGTTTTGAATTTTGAATAATTTCAAAAAAAAAACATCGTGTATGCTAATTAATGATTAAATAAAATGATAAATTGAGATTAAAAATTCTCATTGTAAGAAATATTAGGATATCTCATTATAATCATCTCAATAAAACAATGCTTTTTTAACAATGCCCCTGAATTTTGACATAGCAACATTAAAACAATAAAAAAAAACCTAAAATTCTAATTGATGGAGTATATGGCCCAGGAACCCCCGGCCCATAGACTCCTACTTCTCCTACACGAGTCCGTTGAGCCCAGAGAACGACTCAGGCCCAGATACAACGGCCCAAGCCTCAAAGTAGCCCAGAATACACACTGGGGTGCCTTCGGCCTCCTTGGCCGAAGGCTCCAGAACTCACAGGACAGCCTTCTCTGACATAAGAAGATACTGGGAGAAAACGGCGAAAAACATGAGCCCTCGGCATCGGAGAAGCCTTCGGCTGAGCCAAGCCTTCGGCCACACGGTGCCTTCGGCCACACAAGGAGCCCGCGGCTACACAAGGAGCCTTCGGCTGAGCTAGCTCAATCATCGAAGATTCCTTTTGGGGACAGCCAACCACCGCATTTAATGCCACGTCGCATCCACCAACCGCATTCAATGCGGTTGACGTACCACTGCCGGTGCCACCCGGCTGATGTAACCCCCCGACCGTCGGATTACTGGCACGTGTACTCTCATCGCATTTATTGCTGCTATAAATAGCAGCCCATTCCTCCTTGTAAACCATGCTGAGTTCATTTAATAAATCGACTCTCTCTCTCCTCCTATTTTGCTCTGACTTCTCTCTAAGCTATTCCCGCAATAACCCCCCGGATAAGATACCCCCGGGTAGACTATCCATCACTAATTGTTAGAGATATTATGGCTATCTTTTAAGGATATGTGAAAGATTAAATCCGGTATCTATCATTTCCCGAGCAAGATCTAAGCTAGCTAATTCTGATTCAACTAATATACTTTCTTTAATTCTTGCAACATTGTGTTTTTTGCACTATTTACATACCTTAATTTGATCACGATTTTCTACTAATATACATAATCAAATTATTAGAAAGAACTAACAATCCATCAATAATTATTCTTTGTATTAGTAAGGATGTTTTTAATTGGATTAAAATTTTCTGATTTGATCTGTTCTGGTTGGCTTTGGTTTGGTTTGGTATGGTTTGATCTGAACTGGTAGGTCTGATAAATGTCCGGTCTCTGTATATTTTGTAATTATCCAAGTCAGTCTGGTGTGTGATCTAATCAGATCTGACATTAAAAATAGTCCAAGTAAAAACGTCCAATTATTAATCTAGCAACCCATAAAAGTGCATCTAATTTATATACGGAGTACATAATTTGGATCAAATGAAAATGTGATAATTAAATAAATGGAAAATGTATATGTTAAATTTGGTACATAATTTTTAAATGTACCTTCAAATATCTATATGCACCAACTCTTTTTTTGGATACGTCTATATATACTATCTAGCTAAGAAACTCAAAAAAGTGAGCATTTGTATAAATAGAAATATAGAATGAATTTCTAGTTCTTAGTTGCTATGAAATTTGAGTGACCTGATGTTAGTTATGTATTACTGTGAGAGAGTTGTTTGCTGTTGTCTTTTTGAAACTATAGTATGGTTGCTTCTTTGATTGGGGAATGCCCCTCTAAATGTTGTAATCTAATTTTGGCATTTAATGTATATTTACCTTTTTTACCAAAAAAAAAAAAAAGAAATATAGAATGAATTTGTGTCCCAACAAAATATCATCCCCACAAAACCGGATTATATGCCTCCTCCATATACATATATACATACGTATTCATGTATATATATGCTGTATACACATTGCAAAGAGCCAATTAATTGCCGAATCCTGAAACACAAGCACTCCATCCTATTCACCCGCCCTTTAAAGGCCCAGCATTCTGGTATATAAATATCCTCTCTGTAACAAGAAAAGAGAGGGAGATTCTTGTCCTCTTGTGAAGAAGACTGTATCTTGAATTAATTTCCTTTTTCAATTTGGCCAAAACACACAAAAAGCTGATAGTGGATTCACTCAGATTGTCAGGGTGGGTTTTGGGATATCTTTTCTCTTCCAAAAAGAAAATAGTAAGCCTTTCTTCCTGCTTTCTTGCTGCAAAAGTTTGGAGCTTATTACCTTTTCTGAATGATCTGGTTTCATATTTCACTATTTTTGTTTAGCAGGTTTGCAGACAAGGACCCACCAAACTAGGAGTGGGAAAAAACAGATTTTTTTTTGTTATCATTCGGAGGGTGGAAATGTATGTGGAGAGTGCTGATAGTTGTTTTGATCCCACATTGGAAGAGGCAGTCGCAGTAGCGGAAGATGTGGTCTTCCCTGACAGCTTCCATTTGGATGGAACAGAGCAAGGAGAGGAACAAGCGCGAGTTTCTGCGGCGGCCGCCACCGCCGCCATTGAAATGGAGTTTCAGCAGCGACTGAATCTGGAGATGGAGAGGTGCTACAATAACGATGATGACGGTGATAGCAATAATCCTCAGTTTATGCCAAAAATGGGCAGCCAACAACAGGACGGGATGATTTTTAACATCAACAATCAAGGGATGTCGAATTGGGAAGAAATGGTGTTTTCCGAAATGCAGATGAGTTCTGGTAGTAATAATAATCATCATCATCTTCTTTATCAACCACAACCACCCTCGGATCTTCTGAACAATATGTTCCCTTTCCCGAGGCCCTCTTCTTCATCTTCTTCTCATCTTCTTCCGAACCCACCATCTTTTTCATCTTCGAATTTCTTGAACTCAATCGGCCTGTTTGGCGACCACCTACCATCAGATAGCGGAGCATCACCTTCAAGCCATGTCCTCTGTGACCCTTCTCTGCTGCCTCTGAATCTGCCCCCACAGCCACCGCTGCTGAGAGACCTGTTCCACTCCTTGCCGCCCCAGAGCGGCGGGTACGGCGGATTTGGGTCTCTGTTCGGGGAGGTGGTGGACGAGAGAGGAGATCAAAACCAGGTGAACGGGGGATTCTACCCAGGAATGGATGGAAGGGACTTTGAGAATGGAGGGGTGTTTGAGTTCAGTGGAGATCTGAATGGGTTGGGGAAGAACAGAGATGGTAAGGGCACCAAACACTTTGCGACTGAGAGGCAAAGGAGAGTCCATTTGAATGACAAGTATGAAGCTTTAAAGAGATTGGTCCCCAATCCATCTAAGGTAATTTCTTACTGAATTAGCTTATTCTTCTTTCTCTTCTGTGATCTTATTATTCCTCTCCCCATCTTCTTCAGTTCACAAAAAGAAAATAAACAAACACTATATTGGGGTAATAAGGTTCAGGTCCCTGTTCGAGATCGGGGAACAGGGAGGACAGATCAATGGGGCCAAATTGAGACCGTAAAAAACGTTAATTTATATCCTTTTTTTGGAATGTATGGAAGTAAATGTATATTCTTTTTTATTAGCAAAAGTTATTCAGTTTTTTCATCTCATACAAAAGTCATGTTGCAAAAAGAAAGTGATGTTTAGTCAAATAGAAAAAATTCAAGTAGTTTGTCAAAAGACAGAATAATGGGGGGTGAATATTACGTGATTAAGTTAGTATTAATAATTAAAATATGGTTTTCAAAAACTAAGCTATTTTTTTGTTGAAGCACATACTTAAACTGAATTTGAGTATGAAAATAGTTGATACTCTAAATCACGTGTTATATAGGAATTGCGTTCACTAATTAGAATCTCATTTGGGAATGGAGGAAGACTTATTTTTTGACATAGAATTACACTTGAACAATTTGTTTTACTATATATTGTAAAATTATAAGTTATTACAGAGTATAAATTTAAAAAGTATATATTTGAAAATAATAATAGACAAATAGGTAGACTTTGAAGATCAAAGTGAGAACTTTATTTTTGGACGATGGTAAAATAGTTTTTAAGCCATTCACCCCACTTATATTTCAATTTATTATTTATTGTATTTATTAAACTACATTTTGCATAATTAACTTGTTTGATCATTTTCAAGAGAACGTTATAAATTTTAATGGAAATAAGTTTAACATCAAAAGAAAAGGTTCATTATCTCAATGTCTTTGATTCCCAGACTAACTTAATACTTCTCACACACATTTCTCAAAGGTCTAGCCATAGCTTTAATGCTCTTAATATGACAAATCATTTTGTGGTTTTTGTTTTAATTCAAAGAATGATAGAGCATCAGTGGTGCATGATGCTATTGGGTACATAAACGAGCTGAAGAGGACAGTTGGGGAGCTGAAGATTCTGGTGGAGAAGAAGAGGTGCAGCAGAGAGAGGATGAAGAGGCAGAAGATAGATGGTGATGGTAGCGGTGGCTGTGGTGGTGGCGGGGCGGGAGAGGATGTGAAGGACCTCCAGTCTTACAACGGAACTGCCCTGAGGAGCTCTTGGCTGCAGAGGAAATCCAAGAACACCGAGGTTGACGTGCGTATCATCGACGATGAAGTCACTGTCAAGCTCGTCCAGCAGAAGAGAATCAACTGTCTTCTCTTTGTCTCTAAGGCTCTTGATGACCTTCAGCTTGATCTCCACCATGTTGCTGGTGGCCTTATTGGTGATTACTATAGTTTTCTCTTCAACTCCAAGGTACACACTTACTCTCTCTTTTTTTACCCTTCCTTTATTTGACTGCTCCAAATGCCTTAGTAACTCAAAAGATAGTTGATTATTTTTCTCATTCATTCTCCTTATTCATAAAGTGAACAATAACACAGTTATGGCTACCAAATGACTATATATCTAATAATTGAGTAGTGTGCTGTCTTTCTCATTTATATTTCCCATGATCTGTTAACTCTGCAATAATAACGAATCTGGTTTGTATGCAGATTTGTGAAGGTTCAACAGTGTATGCAAGTGCCATCGCCAATAAGCTTATTGAGGTTGTGGACAAGCATTATACTACCACTGCACCCACTAACAGCTACTGAAAGTCTGGTAATTTTATCTCTCCATAAAGAAGTAATCTTCCTAACATTTTCAGAAGTGATGCTTTAAAAAAAACTCTCCTTATCAATCAGCCATTAGCCCATTAAAATCGATATTATTACTATTATTATTATTATTATTACTATTAGTGTTGTTGTTGTTGTTACTATTATTATCAGACTAAATCAGAGTCCAGGATAGAGCAAAGGTTAACCCCCTCTTTTTTGGATTTATGAGTAAATAAACGGAAGGCCGGGCGGATTACTTAATGTTAGTGAAAACTTGATGGAGATTTGCTTTATTAACTGCAGGACGCATGCTTGGTGTGTTGGATGTGCTAACCTTATTTAGCTTCACCAAAGAAAGATTGCACGACTTTCTTGAGCCCTTAGAATAACTATTGACTCGCTCAAAATCTGAAGGTTGTTGTAATAATTGCGAATAAGGATTGTTTAGCTAAGCACAAGGATGTTTACTATGATAACGTAACAGCACTGTTTAGCTTTGTAGCAGCCTAGTGGTAAAGTGTATGGATGAGTTTGTACAATCAGCTAAAGTTGGTTATTACTATTATATTTTCCCAATATAAAGGCTATTTTTAGGAAACTGGGAAATCATCCCAGCTCATATTACAATTTAGAATCATAGTATTTTCAACAGAAATGGAGTAAAATGGCAGAAAGATTATTTAATTTGTTGGGGTTCGAGTATGCTGAAATAATTTGTTGGGGTTCGAGTATGTCATTCAAACATTAAATCTTTTTTACTTGCAACTTAATTGAAAGTATGATATAATCTTTCACTCATAAAGCTGAAATATAATAATCTTTCTCATTATAATGTCTATTAAGATGTCTTTTCTGTTAATTGTTTCAAATCAATTATGGAATATATTTATATTAATAAATAAAATTTTTTGTTGACTTTATAACTCAAAAATAATACGAAGTACTAAATTGATTGTATTATGCAATTCAATTGTCTATTCATCACACAAAATAAACAACCTTATATACAAATATCATTTAATCCTGAACCGACAATGTTGAAATAACGATTATTCAAATTTTTCCTACTTACAATTTTTTAATTAGGTTTATCAGTATTGATGTTAGATCTTTTTGTTTAGAATTTTATTTATCGTAAAATGATAAATATCATGTTTTAATATGTAAACCTTGCATATAGAGACTATCCTCGTACCTACCTCCCAACCAGATACAAGTCCGGAATCGATTGACTATTTCATGATCATGAATGAATAATTAATCGATTTCAATATGAAACTGGATCCATTCGTACTTGTGAAGAGTAAAAGACGAAAGAAGGAATTCACAGAAATTTTTGGAAAGGAAAAGGGAAATTCTAGAGAACAAATGCATTGACAATGAGTTAATATCTCCTTGTTCATATTTTATTTATGGTAAAATGGTAAAAATCAAGCTTTAATTTGCAACCCTTACATATTAAGAATACCATCGTACTCATCTCGTAACCTAATATAAGTTCAAGACCAGTAGACCGGTTCATGATCCCGAGTAAACAATCAATTGTTACTAATAAAACACTAGAACCATCCATACTTGTGAGAGTAGATGAAAGAAAAGAGTCCACGAAAATCTTTGTGGAGAAAAAGAAAAGTAGAAAATTACTCTCTCCGTCGCATTTTACCTGTCTTATTTTCTTTTTTGGGTGCTACCAAAATAAGTGTCACAATTTTTTTGGAAAAAAATATGTGATCAACATCATTTCACTTTATTAATTCAAACCTCAACCACAATTTACTTTTTCAATCATTTTATTAATAATTGTGTCAAACCATAAGGCACAAAAATGGTACGGACGTAGTAATATACTAACAATAATTAAAAGTTTACCACAGTCCATGATTATAAGGGGGGTTGTCTCCAACAATGAATTTGATAGATTTTTAAAGGTTGTGGATTTTATGGATTTAAATGGAATTCCACAAATTATATGAATTTTATGGTGGAATTATATGGATTTCAAAATCATGGAATTGTCTGGATTTCAAAATTATGGAATTGTTTGGGTTCTATATGACTATATCTATCCGTATTCCTGCTTGAATGACAAAGGTGCACCTTGCCTATGGCTCTTCGTTCATCCGCAAACGGTCATGCGGGATGTAATGTACAAGAGCTAGGCATTGACCAGGAGCGGGCCGGGCCTGACCGGGCTTTTTGGAAGATAATTGAGACCCAGAACCGACCCGGTTATCCACCGGGTCCGGGCCGGGCCTCGAGCCAATTCCTTTTTTTTTTGCTTTTCTAATTGACCCCCGACCCCCCCCCCCTCACCCCCACCCCCCAAACCACCCCAAAACACCCAGCCCAACCCTGGAAAATAAAAAAAATGAAAAAACAAAAAAAAATTAAAAAAGCCCGAACCGGGCCCGACCCGGCCGGTTCCTAATTTGGATGACCCGAGCCCGCCCAACTTAACCCCCCGGTCCGGGCCTAACCGAACCGGTCTCGGCCAGGTAGGGATGGTTCCAAACAGTGCCGATTCCGGGCCGGTTTCGGGCCGGGCGGCCCGACCCGAGTCCACCACTAACAAGAGCACTCTACCCAAATCCCAATTCGATGGGCTAATTACTGTTCCTGGGGTGATTCCCCTGCTTTGCCTGGTAACAGGTCTCTATAGAGCCGGGGAAGGAGTAGTTGTTCCCAAATCAAAAGTCATCTCCAACTTTGCGAAGTGGCCTTTCATTTTATACTTGTAGTTCCATCAAAATCTATCAAATTTCATCGAAACAAATATAATAGAAATCCATAGAATGTTTGAGAACATCAAATTTCATCGAAACGAATAATAATAGAAATCCATGGAATGTTTGAGAACACCAGAATTTTCACCGACTTCATACAAATCCAAATCGTCAAATCGATAACTCCTAAATTTTGATGGAATTCTAAAATCTATTAAATTTCATCGAAACAAATAATAATAGAAATCCATGAAATGTTTGAGAACACCAAAATTTTCACCGACTTCGTACAAATCCAAATCGATAACTCCTAACTTTCTTTAAAATCCGTAAGATTTCAGATTGAGGACACCCTCATAAAAGTCTATTAGAATGAATGAAATTTTTTTCAGATTTTTAAAAGTCTAAATTCTCTCTCAATTGATGTGGCAGAACTAGCGGAATCGTTTATTATTTACGAAGCACAAAACTCAATTACCTTAAAGCAACACAAAATTTATAAATCTAAAAAACCCTTCAAATTCCATACTCCAGATACCCTCCTAACTTAATAAAATGTCTTATGCATCACTGTACACTCAATTCAAAGCAAACCTTACAAATTGAGTCCCCCTACGTAAGAAAATGTAAAAGGAGAAAAATGAATCTCTATTGAACAGCCAGACGCTGAAGATGATCTAAAAAGACTTCAAAACTAACATCATCAGTGAAAATAATATCCCCTCCAGGAACAGGAGGGGCTTCCGAGTTGTACGTAGCAGAAGGATTCAACTTCGCTAACAAAAACCTAGCCTGCATCCAACATCATAATAATTTCATTTCGGAGTTCAGTAAGAAGTAAAATTTCTGCCTGTCCATATATGATTTTTTTAAACTTAAAGAGTTAAAAATATTAATACCTGGGATCCATGCTGATCACATATGACAAGGCGAGGCACTGGGAATCTTTCCCGGATGATTGATTCTGCATCATCCTGGGGAGATTTCAATAACTGAGCAAATGCCTGAAAAATCAGAAAAGGCTACATGTTACGCAGCTTTAAGATTACTCCACTCAACCAGAGTTCATCAGTCATGACCCAATCAGACCACTCATAATCATAATTTTCTCTAGAGAATTAGCTGAGTTACAAAATGACACTATTGTATGAGTGAAATCTGCATACAATTCATTCCAGTGCAGATTGGCCATTAATGTTTTCCCCATAAATGCCAAAACAAGAATTTTAATGATAATAAAAAATAAGTAATCTAATTTATAATGTGTGAGAATATCTTACACATGTATCTTACACTTGTATTACATATCTTATATTTGACTATATGTGTTATTAAATGCTTCTTTTTATTATTCCGATGTATGGAATATTGCATATGCTCCTTACAAAATAATACTCCATGGTAATATTGTTTTGGGTACATCAGAAAGGAAAATAAGAATAAGAAACGGAAGCATCCAACACAGATATAAGATATATGTGTTGCAAATGTTGAAATCACAATATATTATTCAATCTTAATTGCATTTGCACATAATATATTAAATTAATTAATTTTGAGATTTTAGTTTCTTGTTATAGCATTTAAGGGCCAATATAAATCTCGAAGCGAACAGCGGGTGAATTTGGACAAAGTTATGAATGGGAGAGCCACATTTACACCTACGTGCACCTTTGCCCATGAAATGATAACATAAGAGCGTAGAGACTAGACCTGATGCTCAGGTTGTTCATGGTATCCAGCTTTTCGCCATTGAGCAATGGTTGATCCATGAAAGACAACAATAGTAAAGTAAGAATCCAAAAGAAGAATTCTGTCAGCAGCAATTGCTCCCACATCAAGAAGAACCGGTTCAGGACCAGATTGAAAAGAGTAGGAGATTAATGACGGCTGAATCATCACGACAGAATTTGAAACATTCTCCCGATTCAGAATTATTCTATAATAAGCTGTCTCATCTGGGCTGTTCCCGAAGACCTAATTAGGTTTTAAAACAAAGTACAGATAATTAGATTATGATAGAAGAGTATGCATTATTCAAGACAAGACTTATATACCTGTACAAATTGAGACCGCCGTAGGTGAAAAAGAAATTGTGGGAATATTGAGAAACGAGGAGAGAGACTAAAAGACGAAGGGCTATCCTTTTGGTAGTCACCAAATCGGGAGCACATGTGTATCAAAGACTTATCCAGCCATCTTATAGGGTCAAACTCAGCCTGAATATTATACATATACACATAAATAAAAATATACATATAACATATGGAAGCTTTAGTTTTAAACTTGAGGATACCAATTACAAGAAAACCTAAAAATGATCTGAAAAAATCTAAAGGCACAACTTTCAATGGAAAGTAGTACCTCAGTTTCCATTTTGAATGAGGCTTGGCGTGCCATTACTACAGCAGCAGTTTCTTGATCAAATCCAGCAATTAGCTCCTAATCAAGAAGTAAAGAAATAAGGCATATCAAGCTTTTTTAAATAAATTACAATAATTTGCAATAATGCAATAAATAAATACATAAAAAAGAAGCAGATGCAGCTGTGAATATTTGCCTGTATGCTTCCAGGTCCAGAAACCCATCGTCTTGAGAGTGTAGTAACACGAAGCCTCATCAGTCCATTTTTATGCTGATAACTGAAACATCAATTATTTAGTCAAGCCTTTACAATCCAGTGTGCAGTTGTGCACACATTTTGAAACAATAGCAACGTATAAAAATTAGAAATTCATACTATGTCAAGAACTGGAAAAAAAACTGTGTGTTTGCAGATTGAGCAATAGCATCCGGATTCTCCTTCTTGCTAATCTCAAATAAAAGACACAAGGAAGTGGTTTTATCAAGACCACACATTTTCCACGCTGTTGTATTTCCCTGACCAATAACAGTTTCAGAGCAGAGAGGACCTTTCTGTGCAAATAACACAAACAAATTATGACCAGTTAGAAGCTTATGAAAAAAATAGGCCTTTTGCAAAAAATGACGATTTCTTTTTACCTTTTCAAGTGATGCACAAGGACCGATGACTCCATGAACTTTGATATCTTTTGAGCAGTTAATCTCAAAAATGCCACTGCGTGCAAGTTAAGATAAAACATGAACTGTGGCAATTTAGAAAGAATATATAGAAATAAAAATAGAGAGATGAAATAAAATTACATCTTTGATTAATTAAAACAAGCAATAAATCAAGCAAGACATGCCAAACCAAGTTAATAATAGATGTAATGGAACTAAAGTATGCAAGAAATGCTTCAAAACTAAAAAAAGGTCATAGATTGATGACATCCCATGTTATTAGGGGCCCATTTAAGATGACTTGTGAAAAAGCTAAACGCCAAGGTCCTTCCTGAAAGATTTCAAAAGAAAAACTTTGGTTCTTTTGTTATAATTTTTTTGCCTTGACACAGTTAAAAGTACTTATGTCAAATTTTGCTCTTCAGAAGAGCTTGAAATACTCCCTCCGTCCCATAAAATTCTTCTAACTTACCATTTTGGGGTGTCCCAAAAATTCTTCCCACTTGCCATTTTTGGAAAGTTTTGTGTGGCTAACATTCATTTACCTTTTTCTTACTCAACCACAACCATACATTTTCACTTTATTCTCACTTTCTTAATAGGCGTGCCAAGTCAAAGTGGGAAGTATTTTGGGGGACGGAGGGAGTAAGCGTTTTATGATAGTCATCTCAAACAACATATTTTTTATGATAGTAATGAAAAAAGTAAGTCGAAGCCTTACTTTGATGATAGTCCGAGATCGTTTTCTCCCGGCTGGAACACTTGTCTCAATGAATCTTTGAAAACTTTATGGCCAAAACTTTCAGCCAATACAACAAGCCCTCCAGTCTTTTCAATCGTTACTTTAAGTTCGGCAAGTCCAACCTAATGATTGGTATGCAAATTGTAGCCATTCGCAGAAGTCAGTTGAGCAATTTGGGATAACCCCTAAAGTATTTTATGGTTTAAGAGAATAACGAAGAAAACTACCTGATCCAGCGCACAAGCAAAAACATCAAGTACATGCCCTTGGTGTACAAGCTGCTTCGAAAGTGCTTCATAGAATTTTACTGCCTTGTGATATAATGGAGCAGAGTCTTTGTCCAAATCCTTGTGGGACCGTATAGGTTCAGATAGGGTGTTTGAAACAATCTGGGGCATTCAAATGACAGGATAATTAAAGATGGGATCATATGCTAGCATCAATGAGATACATAAAATCCGAATAGCAGAGAGAAAGACTTACAGCACCTGGCCCTTCTGTTGAGGGCCCACCTAGAAATGCCATGATTCTAGCCCCAGAACCAGGAACACATACTCCCAATAAATGGGCAGCCACACTCAAAGCAGTGCCAGTGCACCTCGATGCCCGTTTATCTGCAGGCACAGGCCAAGGATCTCTTTGAAGCTCTTCCAATATCTAACATAGTAAATGGCCTAAAGTCACATAATGTTTAATGACTTTAATCGAATATGAATTTTTAGACCGACACGACCTACTCCAAATTCTTTTTTGGGAATTTAAGGTTTGGGTTACTGTGTTTCGTGTACAAATAAGCATGCGAAGTGGAATGGAGGAACTTACAGAATTTAGTGTAAATTCACACTCAGATGCTGGCAGCAAAAACCTTGAAATACTCTCTTGTGAAAGCCCATCTCTTGCCCCAGCAATGACCCCAGTAGTTGGCTTTGGTTTCTTTAAAAAGAAACCCATCTGTTCCAAAATTTGGTCTTTAGTGACTTCCTTTGACCCTTTGAACACATAAACCTTTGGAATCAGCCCAAAGCCCAGCTCATGAACTTGCACATATGAACCAAAGGTTATCAATCCAACCAAACAATTCTCAGGCAATGTGCCTAACACCTGCCATAGTGCCATAATGAAATAGAATGAGATTCATAAACAAAAACTGAAAAACATGTTAAACTATGTTGTGGGGAAACTACATATAACATTTCCTTAGACTACCCATGAAAATGAATATGAAAATAAGCACATGGAGAAGAAAATAAGCAGACGAAAATTCATTCCAATAGGATATTTAACATGAAGAGGACTTACACACATATAACAGTTTACTCTAACATCTGTTAGAGCACATCATTTTAACAGAGAAATATAGCTACAGGTTATGCAATTAAAACAAACATCCCAAACTCATAAACAATTACCAATTGCCAGAAGTAACATTCACTAGTATGTTGATTTAAATGATACAAAATTTGTCAAATAAGTTTGCAAGCAAAAGTTTGTTGTGTATGACTGTTGGAAGGAAAAGTTAAATACAATGCAATATCAGTTACAGTTCCAATTTTACCCAACAAAATGAAGTAATCTAATAACTTATTGCACCTATGAGAGACTGGCAATATACAAAGTATCATCATCATCATCACCCCAGTGCCACAAAGCCTCACACCAACGGGGTCAGATTTTTTGCACTATGGTGGTTTTAATATTACATCAATAAAAAATTAGAAATTGCTCAAAATAGGATAAATCATAGGTAAAGTTCTAAAAAATGACCAAGTATGCTTTGTTCCTAAAATAGGCGTTTTTTAGTACTACTAAAAGCATAAAAGAATAAAAAGTTTAAAAACTACCCTAAATAGGAGTATATGAGTCCTATTTTGAGAAGTAAGCAATGGAGCTCTTATTTGAGAGCATTTGTGATGTTTTACTCCTATTTCAGGAATTTTATAAAAAAAAAACAGTCTTGCTATTCCACTGAATTCACTTCATTACGAAATTTCTTATGTGTAAGTCCTGTCTGTCTATAACAACCCTAACTAGATACTTCATCCCCAGCTTGGAGCCATTCAAATCAGAAACTAATGCACGCCTACATTTTATTATATAAATGAATAAATAACAAGAAACAAAGAGAAGTGGATGCCTGCAAGAGAGAGGATTTCAAATAGCCAATCTCCTCCTCGATGAGGCACGTGTCAATGACAAATAGGAAGACAGGGGTTGTAAGCGCGGCCCTTTCTGGGGCACTTTCGTACTCGATCGTAGTGTACTGAGGGAACAGCTCGGCGGGCATGTTAGTTTCTGAAATGGACTGGTAATTGGCGGGAAAATGGTTGCGCTGCAAGCAAAAGCTGCAGATCCACATCTTCGTGGTTGAGAAGTCAACCATGGAGAACGGGTTGAGGACCGATCGGCAGTTCCTGCAACGGAGAGGGGCATAGGGGAGGACCGGGTGATCCGGGAAAGGTTTCAAGGGGGTATAGATGGCGGAGACCGGAATCACGCATTGAGCCGCTTCGGATTTGGTCCCCGGCATTACGTTCCACGGCATCCGCACCGCATCTTGAGCTTCGAGCTCGGCAAACTCCGTCATATTAACGGCGAACGACGACGCAAATTGGGCTTCCCAAGGCGGCGCTACTGGCGGTGGCACGGCGTTACAGCTCACAACGAGTAAAGTTAGAGTCACTATGAACGATCGATAAATTGATCAGTTCGGTGCATCCGGGCATCACAACGTCGGCTCATTTGGTATTTTTATCATTTACGTTTTACAAACACAAATTCCTTGGCGTAAGAGTAAACATAAATATAATTACATACTCCGTACATAAAAGTAAACTTAAATTTTCACTAGAGTAAACATTAATTTTTTATTCTTTTTTTAAGAAATTTTTTATTCTTAATAGCTCTGATCTAATTAATTAATTCTAAAATAAGACTTGGTCCTATTAAAATATAAATAATTCTAAAATATGTTTAAAAACTAATAAATAATTAAAAATAAAAGAACAATTTTTAAAAAAATAAAAAACTTTAAAAAAAATAGAGAAAAATATTTAAAATATAAAAATATATGGAGGCCTTTCCCACCGCCTTGGCCACCACCCAGTAATGCCACCTCCAATCGGTGTAAAATGTCATTTTATGTAAAAATTGTTTTTTTTTCTTTGAAAATGTCATACATATGACATTTTTACTCTTTGAAAATGTCAAAATATTCTCGAAAACTGCCATCAAGATGGCATTTCTGACCAATGTTGGCAATTTTTGGTGGCCGGAGCTGGTGGTGCTGGGAGATTGTTGAGGCGGCGGCAGAGAATTGCATATTTTTATATTGTTTACTTTTTTATGTTATTTTTTAGTTTTCTATTTAATAATTTTTTATTTTAATGATTTTTTTATTTATTTTATTTAATATTTATTTTCATGTTTTAAATTTTTTTTTACATTTTTATTATAAATAAATTTATGCTATTACTTTTATGTTTTACATATTAATGAAATATGAATGCCGACGCGGTGGCCAGGGGCTTGGGCTTGGGTAGGGGTATATTTGTTCAAAGACTAAAATTACTCATGTTACTGCTATTTATGCATTTTGCCCATGTTTTACTCATATTTGGAGAATTCACTCTTTTACAAACTACTTTATTCTCTTATTTTTTCATTATCACGTTTACTTTACACCCTTTATATTACCACCGCTACCTTTTCTTAGGGTATCTTTGAGAATTTGGGACATGAGGGAGGCAAGGATTTTGAAAGTTACCTTGAGGGAGAAGGGGGGAAGTGAAAGAACTCAAAAACACTTATGTTTGTTTGTGAGTTAAAAGTTTTGAAGAAGATGGATTGCAGAAATTTTATAATTAAAATCACGTAACGTATACATCGGATTCAAATAGATGAACTGTATTCATTTTGAATTGAGCTAAAACTATCATTTGTTTTGTTATCCTTCAATACCCTAACATGAAAGGGATGCTTATAAACCCTTATCAATCTTCTCCCTCTCCTTCAAAAGTTTTCATTATAACCAGGCAGCTCACATTCGAATAATACACAAGTTTTCACTCTTGTTCACTCTCTTATCATCTTCTTCTTTACTCTTGTTCGAAGCCCATTCTTCTTATAAATTCTTTTTTAATTAGTTTTAGCTTATCAATATTTTTCTTAAACATACATATTTTAATTAAGTTTTTTAAAAATCATTTTGAGAAACTTGAAGCCCTCTATTTTCTTTAAGAGTTTAAGTTTAATAGTTTTGTTTGGTTTGGAGTGTTCTCTATAAGATATCAGTAGCATATGGTTAACTTTTGTTGTTGGTTTGTTTTGGTCATTTTCATGTCCAATTTAATAATGTCATGTTAACCTCTCTTCAGTTCTAACATTCCAATAATGCTATGTTAAGAGTACTCTTTCAAGAGTCTTTCGGTGTTATCTTTATAAGCAACCTTTAGATCCTTGAATCTGTTAAGGCTTAAATACTGTCATTGGGTCCAAATTAATTACTGAATTAAAACTTCTGATATGAGTTGTTATTCTACCCGTTTCTTTATTTATGCAAAGAGTTCATGGCTCCGGTGTGATGATTATAATATTCCTTTGCCTCGTAGCTTGTCATTTTCTGGGGTCAATCCTGTATTTGTTTTGTCCTCAAAAATTTGTTTAATTCGTTCAATAGTTAGATTGAAAGAATTAAACGGATAAGAGTTGAGAAGCCTTTTATTGCCCTTTTGCTTATACTTCATTTTACTGCCAAGGTATTTTGCTTTTTTTTTTTCCTGCTTCACTCTGTGTTTCCTTTTTCTATTTCTGGAGTGTCATTCTGTTGAAATTCATATACCTTTTGATATTCTCCATTCTGTTGCACCTAGATTTGTTTGACTTATGTTTGAAAGTATGTCTTCTTGAAATTTAGGTTCAAATCGAGAACAGACTAAATTTTCCCATGTAGATATGATTGGTAGACCAATGGTTCTAGAAAACATAAATGATGTGCTTGAGCACAACCAGTAGTTCCAGGTAATCGTCTTTCATTGAATTCCTGTTTTTGTGCTGCATTGGTTTTACCTTGTTGATGTGCTACCACTCTTTTGGTCCATATATGCGTATTTGTTGAGACTAATATAGAGAAACTTGGATTCTATCTGCTTTGATCAAACACATATTAAGGCATCTCTAAAATATAGATAATCTTAATTAGAAGTATAGAAACACGGGTAGAAAAAGAAATGCAATGAATGCTATAGGTGGGACTTGGAAGTATGCTTCTTTAGTGGTCTCTAAGAGATATCGTGAATACATCGCTTAGAGCATCTTCAATGCTACAATGTGCACGGTACACATGTGACATGAGAGATATAGACACAAAATATTGATTTTATGACATTTCTATCTCCTTCTTTCCATGGTCTTATGTGTTTTTGGTAAGTTTTTGTCTGCAATGTCAACCACAATGTCTACATCTAGACATTGTGCTTGACATTGTGAATAAAAACTTACCAAAGTGATGTAAGATTCTTCAAATAAGGAGAGAGATATTCTATTTATTATTTTCTAATTGGTTATTTCTCATGCCACGTATGCACCGTTAACGTTTTAGCATTGAAGATGCTCTTACCGATAAATAGAACCAACAAACGAATAGTTGCTTTATTATTAACTCACAAATGTCATAGGCAGCTGCCATATTTCAGAGATGCAAACATACATTTAATCTAAGGAGGGAGTTGCATAAGTTCTTAGAGTGATATATATTGGATAAAACACTGAAATTTTTTAATAGACACAACTTTGTTCACAATTTGTGTTAATATACTCTGGCCCGAGAAAGGTTTGATACCTGATCCAGAAAAAGGTTTGATTTGGTTTTATCATATGAATCTCAAAGCTTTACTAATATAAATATAATCTTTTATTATTTTCCTATTATGTCATATGAAATGCACTTTTTAAAATTTTTTCCTTCTCTTCTTTTCTTATAATTTGTAACATTGTAATGTCAAATAGTTTCACTTTTTTCGATTAGTTCTTTTATTGTCTTATATTGGTAATAAGAGGAAAAATGATATTCTATACATGTGTGGTTCAAATGAATTTTTATTTTTGATCATCCAATCCAACCATATATTAATTAATCAAATCAGTCGCTAGATGGCTTACAACACACTGAGAAGCAAACTCATAAACACACTCCTGATCTGAGATAAAAAAACGTGTGCTCTAGCCAATGCATGAGCAGCACGATTCGCCGATCGTTTACAATAAGAGATAACAAAATTCCTCTTAGACTCCAAATAGCTCTAATATCATCAATAATTAAATGTAAATAAGCCGAGCCATCTCCCTTCTGAATTCCTTGCACCACTGTCATAGCATCGGTCTCAAATTCCACCTTGTTCCATCCTTCCTTGACTGCTTCCATGACTGCATCCTGCATACCTAATGCTTCTGTCTCGGCAACCGACTATGACCCTTTCGCTGACACTCCTTTGGCCTTTATAAATTCTCCTTCCGCATTTCGTGCAATCCATCCCCATGCCCTAATCTTCCCAGCCTCATTAAGAGCCCTAATCTGCTTCTGTCGTGATGCTTCCTTCCAACCTACTCCGAAACTGGACCCCGCTGCAAAGCAGAGGACTGTCCTGGAATTAGCTGTTGCACACCACCCAAATTTCCATCATCAGCTACGCCATCCATACGAGAAGCTGTTGTAGTCGCACTAGTTCCTCCCCGAGTTGGCACCAGTTCGTCCTGCTGCAGAGTGCCAGACTGCCTCTGCTGCACATATTTTCACCCTTCTGCCATACTTGTCGCTGCATTAAGAACACAACTTGCTGATTCTTTTTTATCTTTCCGAACTGCACTATTCCTTCTTTTCCAAATACTCCATAATAATGAAACAAATTTTTCTTTCTCCTTAGGACTACCCGACTCCAGTTTTCCTCTCATCCAATCTTCCACCGAGTTGACCAAGTCCACTCCAATACCCGCCTGGTCCCAAACCTGCTTAGCCCACAGACACACCCATACCACATGATCAAGGGACTCATCCCCATCTCCGCAAAGTTTGCATCCTCCCACAATCTGAACACCTTTACGCCTCAAGTTATCTGCCGTAGGCATGGAACCATCAATCATTTGCCAAACAAGATATTTAAACTTC